CACTATAAATAGTTACATAACGAAACTAGATTCAATATGGAACATCCTTAGGTTCTATGTGCCAGCATGGATTTGGATGTGGTTGTATGCAATGCAGACAAACAGCTGCATCTTCATTTGCGTCTTTTGAAAACAGCAAGAGCAGCAGTTCGTCTTTGCTGTGTCACTGTTTTGTCATGTTTCTGTGCTGCTGTGCATGCAAAAGTGCTTAGTATGAGAATTATTTCATGCAAAACGTTTTTTTTTTTTTGCGTTTTATTTAGCCGCGCATAAATGTATGCCTATCTCTCATTCCGTGTTGTTCAAAAAGCTTGGTCCACAAACAAAAGCGAAACCTATGCTTATTGGTTGTGATATAGCGAGTTTGAACCAATCTGGGCATGGAGGAGGGACAATGCATCAATGTATCATGTCTGATTTGTCCGGAGACACAGTGACGAGCGTTTCTTTGTCAAATCAGTGTTGTCAAATGTTGATGACGTAACCGCACTGATTCCGGAGCCTCTGAAAGTCTGCGAATGTTATGTGATACAGCACTGGAAAGCTGAGATTCTCTTCTTTATGCCAATCTTTGAATTGTATGAATCGGATCAGCGGATCAAAAGTTATTAAACATTTAAGAGCAATACTTATTTTTAGCCGCGGGCGACTGTCTCGGTCTTTAAGGGTTAAAACCGTTGATATGCAATTGTTCATGGTATGATAATCGTGCACGTTCAAATCGTGGTAAACCGTCATACCGTTATATTGTTACAACCCTAGTATCAAGCCATCAAAGCAAAACATGGCTGCAAAAGCAATTACTAACAAGAGGCAATCACAAAGTGACACAAAAGTAGCAGAGCTTTTAATATGCCACAGTCCAATGCTTTCCGTTATTCATTCGTGATCACATAGGGGAAGTAGCAGCACAGTTTTATTATACTAAATACATGTTAGAGTTCTGTTCTGTATGGTGTTTATCTGTCAAAACAAACCAGAAATTGAGGGTGTATGACATCATTAGCATGGTGACAACTCACTCGTTAAAAAAATGACCACCTCACTGTCCAAAGTCACGCACTATAGGTAAATTGAAAAAACTAAATAGGCAAATGTGTGCAAATGAGCGTGTATGGGTAGTTCCCAGCACTGGGTTGCAGCTGGAAGGCCATGCGGTGTGTAAAACATATGCTGGAATAGTTTGCAGTTCATTCGCCTCTGAAATAGACACCAAGCCAATGGAAAATTAATCAATTAATTAATTAAAAGATTAATTAATTAATCTTTGAAACAGCATCTTTAAAGCTTTGATCCAAATTATGTTGTTCTGGTGACTGTTGCATTAAATTCAAATGAGATTCTGCTCTTTTCAAAAAACGGCGGAGCAACAAACACCTGTGCATCAGCATAGCAGCAGATTCAAAACAGTATTAATGTTATTCCTGTGAAAAACTGAAAATGTCAAAAGAGGTGTCCTTAGATGGGAGTCTATGGAAACTACAGTATTAACTTGTAGATCCTAAAACTCCACATGTATAAACCTCTGAGTCGCTGACATTATCTTCAACAGGTGAAAACTCGAAATGGTGGACAGCTGCTTCTCACTTAGGGCTGTTTATGCTAATAAGGGAGAGATTGTCATTAATTGGGAGGGCTTTCCCCGTTTAATGACACTTACAAGGAAAAAATATCAATAAAAGTGTTGTTTTTATCAAGTGTGATTATAAATAAATATAATTCATTCATTTATTTATACCATTACCATGTTTATATTTGCACACTTACCAATATTTTAAACCCTTTATAAAAAGCTATTTTTGCATAAAAATAGGCCCCCTCTTTATTCAAGCATCTGCCCAGAAGTTCTAAATAAAAAGTTACATGAAAAAAAAATTTTTTTGAGAATATGTTTAAAAAAGAACAAAAGCAGTAGTTATTTCCATGTGGTGAAAAAATGAACTCACTCACCAACTGCAACACAGCACTAACAAACAACTGACTGAATTTGCAGAAAAGGTATTTTATCGAGATGTATATTTCGTTATGAGATGACTTGTATCATGATAATGAGATTTTGTTTTACCCAAGTATGCAAAATAGTTCAATCCTGCTTTTGAAACTTCATTAAATGGAATGAAAGGCAGACAACAAAACCAAGCAAACCTGTCCCTCATAGTTACCTTCAAATTCTCATGTTTCAATCTCTGCAACACTGAAAGCTCATCTGTCATCGTGGAGATGACCAGACAGACAAGCAGTCTGCTGTTCCGCAGTGACGTCAGTGGCACAGACCTGTGAGAGCTGCTCAACAGCCCAGTCTGCCATTAGAAAACACTCTCTGAATGACATTTTTCCACCAACAGGAGTGAATAGTGTGCTGAACAAACAGTGGTTATTGATACTTTTATTGAATTTTCCCATGACTTGTTTTCCGGTAATCACTTGTTATGAAAAATAATGAATACACGATCAATACAAAATGACAGAATGATGAACTTTTCACTAGAATTGTAATATGTAATGCTGTAAACTAGTTATGAGATTTGTAGTTATGAAATGATCGAAGGAAATGCAATACAATAGAATGGATTTCTCCTCTTATCTACATTAAATTATTGACCTTGCCACTAACTGTGAACGCTTTAGGCTTATTGTTTGGGCATTTGGCTTACGAAATGAGATTAGAGACAGTTCGGACCACATTTGAGATAAGAATTGCATAACATGCTGTCAGCATCAACATGACAGAATTACCCACACAAAACCAAACATAAGCATGTTATTGGGTGATGGAAAATCCAAGACATCAGCACAGCCTACAAGCTTAAGATAACAATGGCATACTAATACGAATAGGCAGCATGTACAGTACATATATAAAGTATTACTAGTCTGTCTGTGTAGTGTACAAGCATGCCAAACATAATTAATAATTTAAACATAATTTACAGCATTGATCGGAATATATTTTGACCTTAAGAAAATCTTAACTATAGTAAATTTTCTCTTATTTTAAAAAAATCTTTCAATTTTTTTCCAGTAAATTACTGTTCATTAAAAAACTATTAATTGAGATTCAGTTTCTTTTACAAAAAGAGCATGCAAAAAAAAGCAGTTTAAAAAAAACACGGTTGATTATTTGAAATACTGCATTAAAACAATTGAAGAAATTCACACACAAAAAAAAGCGAATGTATACCCACACATTTTCTTAAATTTTAATACACTTTAATTGAAATTCGAAATAAAGGCTTTGTAACAAACTCAAATAAATAAAAAAGAAAAGATCTATTAAATTAACCATTAAAAACTACTAACATGTGAAGGTGAATCAAAGTTCACCAAACGTACCGCTGTTTTGTTAAGTGTAAACAAAGATACAGGGACACTAGAGCGTTTTAAAGCCATGAAGAACAGTCGAATCATCCGCAGATTGCTCTTATGTCAGCTCATAAACGGACCAGCTGATCTTCGAGGCTTTAAAACGCTCCATTGTTCCTGTATCTGTAGTGACACGTTAAGAAGCAGTGAGTTCGGTGAACTGATGACCTTCACGACCAATCAGGGGTGCATGTTCCAAAACAATCGTTAGCCAACTAAGATCGCAAATTCCGTCGTTACAAACATAGTTTGATGATTTGCCGTTTCCCAAATCTGTCGTTCCAACGAACATTCTCAAGCTGTGTCGCAAACAGCATTGCAAACTTAAGCACTCGCAACTACAGCTCTGGAGATGTAGTTTGAAACATAGTTCCTGGCTGTTCTATTGCCACTTATCCCCCCTATGCCCTATTCATTTAGAACATTCCAGTGTTTCCTCTAGGATTTTTTTCCAACTGTGGCGTCAGACTCTGTTGGCCATTACACATATCTACCACTACATGTGGCGTTTTTCATTGACAAATGTCATGGGCGCAGTATTAAGTCGCATTCATGTAATAGCCTACGAGCATGTCAATCTTTGCTTAAGTGCCGATTTCCTCTGTTCGTGCACAAAACTTCTTGCACGCCCTCAAGTATACGCTGCTCAAGTGCAGATTTTCTTACGCGCCCTTAAATAAACGATATATAAAAGATTCTGAAGATGATTCTGATTCTAATAATGATAATCGTCTCGTTTTACCAGTAAAACGTTGGTCTAATAGGTTTGTCAAATGGCAAGCATAAGTCTCAAACATAATAGTTCAACTTTAGAATTATGAATAGTTGTATTCTAATGTCATCACTTTACTGTGAATTAACAACCACCATTCCAACCACAATCCACCATTCCAAGTCTATACAAAATTTAGCATTTTAACCAACAGTAGACTTACACATAGGCCAAATATTATTGCTGTATTACTATATGTTTGAGAAATAACAATAATAATAACCTACTCATATTAACCTTTATTTTTTTATCTACAGAGTCATGAGAAAATCATGTTTTAAGCATATTAAATCGTGATTCTCATTTTAGCCAGAATCATGCAGCCTTAATGTCCAAATGTGAAGTATGCACAAAACATCAAGCAAAAACAACCAAGAGGAACTAATGTCCCAGTGAAAACTTCCCCATAATGCAACTGGAGCTGTCAATTTCAAAGAGTTGCCAGAGGAATACAGGTACCAAGAACATGGCTCATCATGCTTGTACTTGTGATCAGCAAACACTGAAAATTATTCAAGCTAGCATAATTTACAAGTAAAAACTAAAAAAATTCCCAACGCAGTACATTCTGTATGTCCATGACTATATTTGGACTACACCTAAGAAAAATCCAAAGAAATGAACGTAACTGCATCCAAATTCTCATTGAGTGGCAAATAGAAACAAACTTCTCAAAATTAGAGCAAAATAAAGCACAAAACAGACTGCAAAAACAAATAAAACGCAAGACCAAGTACAATCATGCGCTCACATTTCTCCATTCAGAGATTTCCAAAGGCTGAGATATAGGTGTCTGCCCAAGTACATTGTAGGATCAGAACAAAAGCAAGTTTGTCCACATAGCATAAACATAAATCATACATACCTGTCACTGACTGTAGACCGTGTGTCGCTCATTGGGCTTTTGTGTTTAGCTTTTATTAGTCCAATATCCTATAGTCATTTTCAGATGCATCAGAAGCATCGGTTTCTGATGTTGAATGAGACTGTTGCATCCGTATTCTGCTGTGCTGACCAGGAGGTTCACTAATAAAAAAATTTAAAAAGCAGAACATTTATTATAAAATTTTCCCCTGCAGTTCACAAAAACAGCAATTAAATCCTGACTGTTTTGAAGAAACTCATACTAAAAACTGTCGAAACTGAATGTGCAGATGACATTACAAATTAAACAACATGAAAGGGTTTGAATAGCTTTGAATACGTAAAAAGCAAAATTAGCACAACTATATCTAATTTAAAAGAAAAACAGTAGTTGACCTTTGTGCTGTGCAAAAGAGTACGGAAATAGACATCTAAACATATTTTAAAAACTGAGTTTCTGAAGTTTTTATTTAAAACCAAGACCTTGTTAAGAACAAAAGAACTTAAGGGAAGTCAACACAATGTATACACATGTACATTACATATACATACACACACACTCAAAACATTCTTAGATTAATGTAAATGCAAAAACAGCATGAAAAAAGTAACTTGTATTTAAAAAAAGGTTAAAGTCAATGACAATATTTCACCTTGTTTTAACCAAAAATCATTATTTTACTTTAGATTTGTTTAAAAGGAAACTTCATGTCCACATTTTGCATTTCAAGTTTACAATGTACTAGAAAACAGAACAAAAAATGAAGAAAAAAACATTATTTTTGCAGTGTATGCATCTTCAGGGTTTCTGCAGGTATCTTTAAGTTAAATTTAAGACTTTTTCAGACCCTTGTAAGACCATCATGAATTAAATTTTACACTTATACAGGGCTAAAAACTAAAGATTTTTTGTAATGGCCCAGTTACTTCAGTAAATTATAATTTTATTCATTAATGGAAGATCATATAAAGGGATGTGTTGCTTTAGTTTTCTTTCCCTGCTTAGGGAATTTAATTAGGTGAATTTGATGTAAACATTTCTAACAGCCGTTGTGTGTGTGTGTGTATATATATATATATATATATATATATATATATATATATATATATATATATATATATATATATAGTTTTGAGATGGATTATTGATGATTGAGTAGCTTTACTTGGACAGGGAAATTATGACTTGTTTAACGTGATTTAAGACCTACAACTAAATATTTAAGTGTATTTAAGACTTTTTAGGTATAAAATGTTGATGAAATTTAAGACATTTTAAGACTTTTGAAGACCCCTCAAACACCCTGATCCCTGAGTGAGATTGACAATTAAATGAAAAATAAAGACACAAGTTGCAGAAATCAGGACCTTTATGTCAAATTATGACTTTTCAAATCTGCAGAAACCCTGAAAACCATTAAATGAGAAGTAAAGTGTCCTGATGTAAATCAACGAATATGTGGTTCCTCCAGCAGTGGTGCTGTTTACCAATAAATGAACCTACTGTTTATAACAACAACATTACTAACCATAATTGTAAATTAACTGTAGTTTAAACTTATAAAACACACTAAACGTATCCCGTACACACAAAAACGAATCATCCACAGGAGTTTAACGACACGGCAAATCAAAATACGCGCATACATCAGCTCTATAATTTACCCAAAATAACTCTAAAAATTGGTCATTTTCCGCTATGTCGTGCAACTGAAAATGTACCTTCATGTTCAGCAGCAGCTCCCCGGTGAAGCCCAGACACTTTTTCCTTGTTAAAGTTACACTCCTTTAGCAATTAAAGCACTTTTGAGCGTCCTAATGCTGAATGTGTATTTCCACAGCCAACAAGGCAGCAGCAGCAGATGATACCCGCACCGCAAACCAGACTGCAGACTCAAGGCCTTTGCTATGCTAAAGCTAACAGCAGCCTAACATCGTCAACTCCAAAAATGAGACGCGATATTTTTCCAACAATAACAATAAACACCCTTATGCATCCACACCAAGCCCACAGTCATCCAGACAGGGTGAAAATGCATGCGCTCATACACGTGTCACCCCGCGGAGAGTTTCCATGGAGCGGCGACGAAGTCTGCATCAAAATAAACAAAACCGCTCAGTAAAGTTCGCATAGGTCTCTCCGAACGCGTTAACGGGTTATATCTAGTTCGTACGAAAGCGATGATCCACATTAAAATCCGTATGGAGGTTGTAGGTTCAGCTCCATCAAACTGGGGAAAGTTGAGAGTACCGGAGAGTGCTGCCGTGTCTCCCGCGGGGCTCTGTCTCAAAACCTACTGAACTTCCTGCACGGACAGCATTTCCGACTCCGCAGAGTACACTCGCGCTCTCTGTGCTCATCCGAATGGCAGTGTCACACAATGCTGTCTAGTTAGACACGTTTAGTCATTTTTGAGTAACTGTAAATGTTTTTGGTTTATACTAAAGTGCATGATGGGGATTCAAAGTTGCTTCCTCACAAAGATTCACCCCAACTTCTGAAACATGTTATGACAGAGCTTTTGATAACTATTTAATTAGGCTGTAGATTGCGGCGGGCGTAGCTGCTTTCGGAATTTTGTTCATAAAATATTTGCATAATTTGAATGGAACGTTTGTGTATGTAGTCATTAGACAAGGCGTTCACTGTTCGCTTGTTTTCCGTGGTATTTTCAAGTCGTACATTTTCATAATTCCAAATGGTCAATTGTCTTTAATTATTCCACTGGAAAACGTGAGCCACTCACTGTTGCAATTGAACAAACTTCATACCTAAGGGTGCGAATGTGTTTTGCAACTGTTGATTTAGTTTGCCACATGGTGGACGTTTACAAAACTGCAACGCTTACTAATGGGTTTGACTTTTTGATACTGATAAAAAAAAACGTCTACATGAAGCCTTTACAAATTTCCAAATAAATGTCTTAATTCTCATTTAAAAAAAAGAGATATTTGTTCATTTTTGGAAAGTCAAACTCCAGATGACAATATTTTTACTAGTTTTGTCTTCTGTTAAGGGGGTGACTTTTTTATAAAAAGATTTTACGTAATTTATTTATTTATTAATTTTCCTTCGGCTTAGTGTCTGTATTCATCAGGGGTCACCACAGCGGAATGAACCGCCAACTTTTCCAGCATATGTTTCCCACAGCGGATGCCCTTACAGCTGCAACCCAGTACTGGGAAAGATACTTTATTTATAATATGAAAATGTATATTTTAATTAAAATTATATTGAAGTCTATTACATACTGATATAGTATATATGTTTCATCCTCATTCAGCAAAACATTTTAAAATGAAAATATAGGCTACCGTTACCTATTGTTATATCTGGAACAAATGAGTACACAAAAATATACTATATTGTAAATTATTATAAACTTTTTAGTCACAAAAAGAAAATGTTTTGAAGGACAGTGGTAAAATATAAATATTTAAATTCTGTAAATTATGTTAAAATGTGTGTGTGTTTGTGTGTAATGTATTATATATTAAAAATACACACACACACACACACACACACACACACACACACACACACACACGTTGGTTTTTGTGAAAAGTGGGGGCATTACATAGGTTTCCATTCATTTTATACTGTCCAAACCGTATATTGTATTGCCCTCACCCCACCCCATCCCTAAACCCAACCATCACAGGAGACTGTGTGCAGCTTAACTCTCTGATTAAACTCATTCTGTAGGATTTATAAGCATTTTGAGAAACGAATGTCCTCATATTGCACCTCCTTTTTGTAATACCTGTGTCATACCCATGTCATTATACAGATTTGTGTCCTGATATGTCACAAAAACATGTGTACACACACACACACACAATGTTGTAACATGAAAAAAAACATGTAAAGATGTATTACTTTTATTTTATTCTAATGCTTAGAAAATCTCTTGAACACATAAATGATACATTTACACACACCATTGTAACATAGTTATGTTTAATCTGAGGTGTGACAACGCCCTATAACACTTCAATCTAATTTATGAAATGTATGACAATGTTTACAGATTTTATCAACTGGTGTGGTCAATTCACCATGACAGATGGACAGTTTGTAAGTCATCACCCAATTTCCCTTTTTAAAAATAGTTAAAATCTCCAAACACATAAAGATTTCTGGGTTTACTTTTTCACACAAAAATCATTCAGTAATCCTCCAGAAACATTTAGTAGTGTTTGATAATCCTTACTGCATATTGCACATACTTAAAGTTTAAAGGGGTCCCATTATGCTGCTTTTTAGAAAAATGTCAAATAAATCTCTGATGACCCTGGAGTGGGTGAATGAAGTTTCAGCTCAAAATACTCTGCAGATAAAGTTTTATAGTTCTATGAAGTTGCCACTTTTGGGGATCGATTCAAAACATGCCGTTTTGGGGGGTGTGGCTTTAAATTCTTATGAGATTGTGCTCCCGGGCCTTCTTATAAGAAGAATGTCAGTGCTACTTCTGAGGCCTTGTCCACACAAACAAGGGTATTTTCAAAGCTGCACTTTTTCTTTGTGGTGCACTGTTGTCCACACGAAAACGCATTGTCAGGTGACTATTATGTACAGTTGCCTTGAACCGGGCCAAAGCATGCTTGTCGCCCCTCCTGTCTCCCCCGACGGCCCACACTCGCATTACATTTGGCCTCGGCAAGCTTACATCATTGATGCTGCGCTGGTCAGTAGCCGCTCTCGCTCACAGTGGAGATTTCTCTAGTTATATCGTTTAAGTCATTTGATATGCAGTGATACGCAGTCAAATAGCCAAACAGATCAGCGACTTTTGACGCTCATAAACAATCTGGTTTGTTGAAGGCACAGCTGTCGTGCAGTAAGGGGTTTGCGTCTTTAATAATCTACGGCAGTTTGCATTCACTGAACAGTAAGAATGATTAATAATTCCACATTTTTCAAAAATCCAGGTACAGTGTGTTGTGTGGATGTTAAGGAGTTTTCGCCTCATGACGTCAGCATGCACGCTGTTTTCTACTTCTAGATTGGCCAAAATGGCTGGGCTCACACCAAACAGAAGACGTGAATGAGGCAAATTCTGCACAAAGCAAACGTATCACGCATTCTGCATTGTTTAACCAGAGAATGGTAATCTACCTCATTTCTCCAGTTTGCATTAGACATTTCTCAATATGCGTTCTTCAGCATTTTTGCGTCCTTGTGTAACGTTATCATCAACTGCTCAAGTTTAGTTCCAGAACTAAGGGCTGCAAGAACCGAGGACGCGTGAAAGTTTCTGGATGTGTTCTATCGGGGATGCATCGATGCAGACTTTGCTCATAAAGTCCCAGAAGTCATTGCGGCTGTATAAAGGAGGTGGGAAGGGCAGCATTTTTATTGTTAAAGTTCAGAGATATAACTTAATTATCTCAGGAGTTTGCCTAAATGAGATGGTGAAAGTAAACATTACCATGAAAATCTTGGCAAAGGCATAAACACATTAAGGGTGTTTATTTGCTGAAATGCATTTTAAAATATTTTATTTGTATTGTGGAATATATAAGTTCCTTTTTTTGTGCATGTTGTATATATATTGAAAAGCATAAAAACAATAAATTGTTGTGTGAATGCTGTTATGTTTAAATAATTGTCTATTAAAAACGTGTGAAGGTCATGTGACCATCAGTAAGAACACAGCATCTCATTTCTCACAGGACGCACTCTGTTCTTGCAGACTTCAGAATTTGTTCTTCCAAGGTGACCTAGCAAGAACGCGGCTCCGTTCTTGGAATTGAGAAACAGCTATTGACTTGAACGCAATTTACCCACAAAATATACTTAATTCTCCATTTAGTGTAAACTCCAGTATAAAAGTGTCACTATCGCCACCTGTTGGCATGCCCATCACTTTTTTGCGTTTTCATGTGGACAGAGATTTTTTTTAAAAACGAAAGCAGGGAAATCTTCATTCATAAAAACATCCATTTATGTGTGGACATGGCCCACTCAGGGCTGAGTTTATGCTAACAGGGAAAAGATCGTAACTAATTGACAGGATTTTCCACCAATGATATAAACAGTCAACGTGTTTCTTATAAAGTGTGATGAAATAAGTATGGATTGATTTTTACCATTAGAAGTTGGCTATATCCTCACAAGGTAGATGTTTAAAACCCATTTATAATAAATCTTTGCATAATAGGTCCCCTTTAATAAAAAAAGCAAAAATGTAAAGGCAACGTTACTAATTAAAATTTATCACAAGTACTGTTCCTAAATACAAAAAATATCAAATATATCCAGTACTTAAAACACTTCAATCCTTATGAGTACAAACACAGTATATGAAATTAGATTTGATTGTAAGAATATCGTGTTAAACCGTAACTTCAAATCATAAAAAAGACACATCAGAGCTGTGTGTTTATCACCAACCAGAAATGAACATTAATGGCTGATATCCTTTTCAAAAAAATATGTAAACATCTATTAGCTGTAGAGCGTTATTAGCTGGTTCACTAACTCTCATTCTTCTCTCCAGTGTTCAAAACAAAAGGCTCATATCTGAGAGATGCATTTCAATCTCTCTTCACGTTCAGCCCATTGACCTCTGCCATCATCTTGTGCCGATTCATCCAGACCTGATATTTACGATATGTAAAGCGTACAATATCAGCCATGAACACCCAGGATAGCGCATACATGGCCACTCCGCCACACTTAATAATGAACTTAGGCCTCGGAGAGATCAGCTCACAGTACAACATGGCACCGCCGACGAAAATGCGCATGAACACAAAGAGTGCTACGAACAGGATGTCTACCACATCTCCGAGGATAGAATCGTATCGGCCAGAGTGTTTTAAAAACCAGCGCGTCTGGAGCAGGGGGTTGGTGATCTCGCTGCCGAATAGAACGGCGCAAGACTCGATGCCTGACTCCTCCAGCCACAGGGTGAGCAGGATACCCAGAATGCTCATGGTGTGGTGGGCAAGCATCACCAGGCCCTCTGTGCGGAAGTAAACACACCAGGCCATGTCAAAGATGAAGTAGCCCAGACTGACCACCAAAGCGCTGATCTGCAGAGGGGTGTTTTTGGTACCTGTAAAGGAAAAGCATACAGTCAAAAATGAGAAATAAGACCGCTAATGAAACAGTTTTATTTTAGGGGTGTGCAATATTGTGATGATAATATAATTTGTGTTTTACCAAAGATATATGTATTGCTGACAGCGTGTCAAGCAATTATAAAAAAGGGAACATTGGCACTATTTCAAATCATTTTAGAGGTCTCCAGAAGTAAGTCAATATTAAATGACTTGCATGTTAGACCAGTGGTGTCCAACACTTGGTACTGGAGGGCTGGTGTACTGCAGATTTTAATGGAAAGAGTTACAGACAAAATCACTTTAGAAGTGTTGCACATTTTTGAGGAACACACGGTTATGTCAGAATCACTGTATGACTGTGTTCTTAAACAAAACAGTTGAGTGAATACTTCAATGACCCCTTCATAAAGTGACTTGACATGATTCTCTAAGCAGGGCTTGACAATAGTGCTGAGTTCATACCAGATGAGGAAAAAACATCAAGCACGAGTGATTTACATGTTAAGTCAATGCAAACGCGCGAATAGACATCCTACGGCGCGATACGCGCGAATTGAGCATTTTGCGCGTTTGATGCACTTAACGCACGAATCGCTCGAGTTCAAAGATCTGAACTTAAATGGACATTTGCGCTGTGTTAACCAATCAAGAGCTTGCTCTTGTGGGGGCATGATTGTGAAGTACAGCCTGTTGTAGCTGTCCCGGTGGAAATCCTCCAGCGGACACCGGCAACAGTTCATCAAACTGGGCTCAGCTCAGTCAGAAGCACCGCTGAAAGCCTCCATCATCCAGGTTATGTTTCTGGAGGAGTTTATGAGCTCACAGAGCTGAATGCACCTCTGAAAGGATCTAGTGGACTCAGACACAGCCCTAAATGTATCGACGCTGTTTTTCAGCCTTCATAAAGCACATAAACACTGGTATTTATTTTCATATAATTCATGTTAGCCATTTAGCAATAAAGCTAGAGGCTCCAGGCAAACAGCAGCCCTGCCCATCACGCAAATCCACGTCTTTTCTGAAGTGAATTTTACACGTGAATGAAGCGAGTAAACTCAAATGTTCTTGCGGCTATTTATGTGCGAATAGCGCGATTTAGCCACGCATTCCACGTTTGGTGTGAAGACAGCATAAGGACTAGAGTGCAAGATGCTAGAATTTTTAATTTGGCTGCGACTTGTCAATTGCGTGCAAATAGGGTGCTTTCACATCTAGATGTTTGTTTCAAAGCGGTCTCATTTTCTCAGTTAATGCGGTTCATTTGGCATATGTGAATCCTGCAATCGTGCTCAGATCTGCACCAAAACAATTGGTCGAATGAGGTGGTCTTGGCTTGATTGAAACAAACTCTGGAGCAGACTGATTGTAGTGACAAAGCAAAACAATCCAATGAATTGACAAACCAGACTATATCACAGTGTATTATGGTTGTGTAATAGTCATATACGGCTATATGAAGAGAGAAATATGAGTAGGGTGGGGTGGCATTCCTACCGGTAAATATGCATTTCATGTCGAATACGAAAGTGAAAGCATGCTGAAATTTTACCGAGAGCAGTTTATCGGTAAGAAAAATTGACAAATTACCATCTGATAATTTTTCCATATTTTTATCTTAAATAATAAAATAATTTTATTGGGCCTATTGTTTTGTTTGAAACCTCGAAAGAAGGATCAACTTTGGTCTGCTTCATGATTTGACTGCAGTCTCGCTTAATCTGTTATTTCTCTCTAAAATGTAAGCCTATAATGCATAATTCTAGCCAACTTTTTTTTAAAAGATTGATTAATTTAATAGATAGACTTTTACAAAACTTGTAAAAAAAATAAAGTGTATGTATACAATTATGTTTGGCTTTTGACACATTATTTAAAATATGTGGCTAAAATAAGGTATTCTCTAGAAAAAATCCTTAGCGTTGAACCCTGTCTATGAATCAACCATTTAAATAATTTGATTGGATGAATGATTAGTTCCTACATCAATATATGCCTACCTGCTAGACATGTATCTTCTCACTCGACTCAAAACTCACGATATTAATCTCTTGACATGATTTTACCATGATTTTTCTAATAAAATTAGTTTGATAAAATTCTTGACATGATTCTTTCTCGATTTTGTCAAACAACATGAGTTCAGTTACAGTGGTAAGTTACATTTGTAACATTGCAAATATTGTGATTGCAAAAAAGTAAACAAGTCAAATATCAGCATGACTGCAATAGTAATATTGACAATTGTAATAACAGAATTACAACTACAACAGTTCAATAAGGTTATATTAAGTGACAGTGATGATATGGTACATGTAGTTCCAGATTTCATTATTAATATGCATAAACTATACTGAACTTTTATACTATATTGAATTTATTTTTGTAACAGTTGCAATGTAGGTTTTTATTTAAATGTGGTACCTACTTAGAATATAATGACACAGCAGGTTACTTTATGATTTAATTTAATGTATACTATTAAATTTAAAATGATTACAGAATAAAATCTACTTAAACATTAATGACATACAGTAGTATTACTTATGCCATCATAATTGCAGTTTCAATACAATAATTCCATCTCTGAGCAGTATAATGCTTCAATAAACTTATAGTTCATGCAAAAAGGATTTTATTTATGAATTATTTACTCGCACTCAAGCGGTTCTAAAATTTCACGCATTTCTATCTTCTGCTCAACACAAAGCAAGATATTCTGAAGAATGCTGTAAACGAGCAGCCACTGACTTCATTTTTAGAAAAAAAAAAAAAAAACACGATGGAAATCAATAGCTGCTGCTTTGCAACATTGTTCAAAATCTCTTCTTTTGTGTTTAACAGAAGAATGAAACTCAAACTGGCTTGCAATAAGTAGAGGACGAGTAAATAATGAAAGAACTTTTATTTTTGGGTGAACTATCCCTTTGAACAGCAAGAATATATCGCACACTCCATTACACACATTAACAGTTGATGTATCTTGCCTGGGTAGGTGAAAGGCCACGGTCCATCGATGTACCCAATGTAAGCAGTTATACAGACTGCAAGGATGCCATGGAATAGTGTAACAAGCCGACAGTTCCATTCATAGCCACAAGAGCCATTAGTGTAGCACAGCAAAGCATAAAGAGCAATCCAGCCGGCTAAACACACTCCGACTCCCAGCACCAGCGGCGACATCTTTATTCTGTGGAGCTAATCAAACACAATGAGCTGTCAAATTCAGAAAAACGCTTTAGCATCTTAAATTACATGCATGCATGAGATGAGTACTTACTGTAAGCACCACAAAGCTGTTTAAAAATGCCACTTCCTTAGATTCTGATGTGGAATAAGTGCTCAAGTAAAGAGTCTGTGTCTGAAGGGGTAACAGTGGATTTCACATCACGAGTTGAGAAATACTAAAGTCTGGATGGGTGTATGGGTGTGTCAAAACTAGACCAAAAGTTACTGTGGCAACCTTATCTGTGGCCCTTTATCTGAATGTTGTGCGAACCTCGTATGTAAAGTACTAGAACTGTGTCAATATTAGGCTATTTTATCAAATCTAAATATGTGTCGGGATGCTGATATGTAACGCAGGTTTTGGGAAGTTAGAACAGTTTTTTTTCTTAACAAAATAATAAATAATAAAAAAAAAATAAATAAATAATTTAAATAATAAAAAATAAAAATCAACAAATAAATAAAAGGCAAATACATTTAAATGCAATAAAAAATATTTATTAAATAAAAATGCTAAATTATGAAGTGTAAATAAAATATTTTATTAGTAGGGCTGGGCGATTTGGCCTGAAATCAAAATCTCGATTAATTGAGCATTTTAAACTCGATTACTATTAATGAACGATTCTTTCTTTAATTTAATTACAATTTTTTGCCCTCATCGTGCCACCAACACTCGTCAACACTACCAAGCAGACCAATCACAGTGCTTTGCATCATCACAACGTGTAGTTACATTTTTTGAGAGGTTAGTGTCGGCATCAGTCACAGCGAGGGGTATGCGACCGCGTAAAGGCTGTGCCAGACCATATGCTGTGCTTGACGCTGAAGTGTAAAACAGAGCGGGGTCACCTGTCTCCACACGCAACAGGGAAAGTAATTGAAAAAATTGACCTGAAAAATTTGATCGATCATTGGTTCTAAATGACGATTTCAATTACTTTCCGATTAATCGCCCAGCCCTAATTAATAGCTTTATTTAATCAAATACTTAATCAAAACATAATGTGACCACCTGTAGATATACATTTTAAGGCAAATTTTTTAAGGTATACATGATAATTAAGATTAAAATCAAATTATAAAACCATTTAAAGTATATATTTCTGCTTTGTTTGAATTCTGTCTGTTTTTTTTCTTTTGGTTGTTTGTTTTTTTATTTATGAAATGATCTGTACATTTAGCCAAAGATTTTCTTCCTTTTAATTTAATTTTTTTGTTCTTTAAATGTCTTCCTCAAAAGCACTATAAAGAATAGTTAAGATAATATTAACTAATAACATCACAGTTAAATAAAAATAGGTATGTTTATTGCAATGTAAGATTGAATGTTAAATTAATGGGTAGAGTTTTTTCGTAAAGTGTGCCTAAGCTATAGAATGGTCTACCCATCAGCATCAGGAATGCCACTTCCCTAGACTGGTTTAAAAAAACTTCTCAAGACTCACCTTTTTACTGTTGCTTTCAATTTAGGTTGATATTTTTGTCAATTTAATCATTCAATTTTATTGTTCATATTTAATTGTCTTATTGTGGTGTTTTTACAGTTTTTTTATTGTTCTGCTTTGTTACTGTTTGCCTTGTCGCGCTTTGGGTCTGACAAAAGCACACTATAAATAAAATGTATGATTAGTATTATTGCTGTTATTATTATTATTATTAATAATAATAATTATACGAAGAAGAAGAAGAAGAAGAATTACACATTTGAATGTGAATAAAATATTAGTGAAAAATATTGTCCTCTAAAAGTCATTGATAGAATTATTTAGAAACAAGGAATTATTCACTTTTTGATATTTTATCCCATGTTAATGTTATGGTCAGGTTATAATACATGTTTGATTAAAGTAAATGAATATTTAAGTGTAAAATAAATTGATTAATATAAAATGAACTAAAAAATTGTAAATAAGAAATAACAGAATATTTTCATTTTCCTACTTTTATGGGGTTATTATTAAAGCTCATAAAACAGCTGATTACAAATGTAAAATAAATTGATTTATAAATAAACTAAGTGAAATACGAGTAAACTTGAATAAAAGTGTAAATCCAAATATTTTACTTTTAAAACAATCAGTACAATCATTTAGAAACTGTAACTGATAAGTTCCATACTTTTATAATATTTTCACAGAACTTAAACATTTCAAAGTTATTTAAACAGTTGTGTTTAGCACACAAATGTAAAATGAATTAAATATTTATTAAAAAAAATTAAATTAGCCATTAATGTAAAGCATTGTTATTACACAGTATTAATGTTACACAAAGTATTATTGTTAAGCAAAATATTCAATAATAGAATCGTTTGGTGACTGTTTTCTAAAGCTCTAATTTATATTTTCGTTATCATAATATAATTCACAAACAGACACGTTCAAAATAAAAAAGATTTAACGTTAAACCAAAGACATAAAATTAAATAAAAGTAACTTGCCATATAATTAAATATCACTTCTGGGCTTAGTTTAACGCTCAAAACAGATCCTGGCTCTTAAGCTAATCATCAGGGCTGTGGTTTATCTAAAGTTAATGCCACGCTTCATTAAATTAACACGAGCTAGTTAAACGCGTAGCCACGAAATGAAACCTATTCTTAGAAAAAGTAAAGACGCTCTACACACACCTCTTCAAGCTGCAGGCATGTTCAGTGGCAGGCCGGGGAGAAAGTAAGTGCTGCTCGGCGTGGATGCTGGATGTTCCTCCGCCTGAGCATCACGTCCAGAGGAGCAGCAGCCGAGAAGACACGAAGCCTTCGGGGATCTCAGCGCTCTGCTCCGGCATCGTCTTGGAGATGGTACGCAAATCACCACACAAACAAAAGCCACATTTCAGTCAGTCTCTCAGCGTCTGGACAACACACAAAACAGGGAGGCAGAGGAGGAGGAGGACAACAAAGAGGAAGACGCTTCACTCTACAGTAGGGCGACCTCTGCTGGTGCGGTCCAACAAACCCACGCAATTAAAGGGATAGTTCAACCAAAAACTGAACACCCCAAAAATAAAATCTTTTATAATCTAGTCATTATTTACTTGTTTTAAATCATAGGTCTCAATTTCAATTCCCGAAGGGCCGCAGCTCTGCAAAGTTTTGCGCCAACCCTAATCAAACAGCTGTCTAGTAGTCTTGAACACCTTGGTTAGTTGGATCAGCTGTTTGATTAGGGTTAGAGCAACACTGTGCAAAGCTGCGGCCATCCAGGAATTGAGTTTGAAATCTATGATTAAATACTTGACTATCAAAAGAAGACATTTTGAAGAAAAAAATAATTCTGAAAAGTTGTAACCATTGACTTCCATAATGTATTTCGTTTTTAAAACCTTTTCATTTAATGTTCCACGCTGGTGGAATGATCTTCCCATTACCATGCAGACACACAAAATCATTCAAACAACAACTAAAACCCATCTGAGATCACCTGAACCCATGTGAATAAAACCAGAACCCCTCTTTTTCTTCCCCACCTCACCACACGCCAACACTTAAATATAATCAATTCCATGTGTGCCTCACATAGGTTAGTGGGCTTAACAAACCACCTGTTGAAAACGCACTCTTTACAATCATTCAAAAAATAAATAAAATAAATAAAACTTGTGCCTTTATGAAATGTGCTTCACACAGTTGAGTGGGCTTGACAAACCACTTGTAGAAACACAAACACTCCTGTAAAACAACAACTTCACCCTCCTTAGCACTTCTGAGCACAAATGGTTCCTTTGTGTAATTAACAATTCTTTTGTGTTTTGCCTCTTGCTGTTGAATTGCTGAAAAGTGTCTGCTAAATGTACCAGTCAATGGTAACAGGGTTGTTTAAAATATCTTCTTTTGTGTTCAACAAAAGAAATTCATATAGGTAACCAACTGAGGGAGTATAGAGTTCATTTGTGTTTTTGGGTGAACCGTGTCTGCTGGTTTTATTTTTACAACGTGCCTCATCATACCACATTTCCATCGTTTGTTTATAATAACAGTGATTGTACAAAGGTGTTTTAGAGGTAACTATGGCTACTTCGAGATTAGTATCCGCTTTTGACGCGCGTCGTTTCATTTCCCAAAAACAAAACAATTCACAAAAAAGGTAAGTATTATACATGACATTTAATAACCAAAAATAAAAATTTTCCATAAGTTACATAGCAACTGAAAGTATTTTATAATTAAAAATATAATAATAAAAAAAATCTGTTATTTTTAATGATAGATTTTTTTTGTAATGAATGATTATTAACATATTACATTGTATCGAAATACATCAACAGATTACAAATTACAGAGTACAAATTTACAAACATTTAATTTGTTGTGCCCAAATATTTAAGTTTGCTCAAATTTCTTACAAACCAGGCCTTAAAAACAAACGAAACAATAAACTTTTACTCAAAGGTTAAAATTTAAAATCACTCCACTATGGTGTTAACAGTAATGTCTGGTCAACTATATTCCTCACTACAATGCAGATCCTTGCGTTGTGACTATTGTGGACTCGCACATTACGATATCAAAGCTGAAATGATATATTTTGCAGCCCTAATGTATACATATTTTTGATCAGATAGTGTAACTAACACTGTTACAATAAATTGTAATATAGTTGTAAATACAAATAAACTGAAATATTACTTAAAATAGTAATTTTATATTTTTTTGCAATATCATTTATTCAATATTCTGTTATAAGATCCTTCAGAAATCAGTCTAATATTACATTTTCTTAAGTTCAAGAAACATGTCTTATTACATTCAGTGTTAAAAAGAGTTTTAAACAAGTGCAAATTTCTAACAGTAAAAACACAGGTTAAAGGACATTTTGCTGAAGAGTTTTTATTTAAAATTACTTCATATTATGCTCGTATTCATTTTCATAGGAAAATAGTTTATTCATAACAGCTTTTATCCTTAAAAAGAATCAGTAAACACTGAACTGAATCACCAAGGCACTTGAATCCCAGACAATGGCTGTTGGGTGGGGAGGTTAAAGGAGGTGTAATCTCAAACAACACTTTCAACATAACACTTAAAATCTCTTTGAACAAAAAAAGGAAATTAAATAAATCAGTAAAAATCTTTTAGTACCATGAACAACAGCCGAGTCAACTGTGGCATGTTATGCGTAAAACATTCATACAGGAAGTGATTTGTGAGTTGCAGGAGAAATGTATTTCCTCTTCTTCTTCATGATAGCGCTCAGTCTGTGCATTTGAGTGAGTGATTTCTGAAGCAGAGAAATCCTGACACCATACAAATTGATGTTAATCTGTATTTGGGATGGTTTCACAGCTCTGTGGATGTACTGAGGTTATACTGAATGAAGAAGCCTGAGTGACAGTAATGTCGCGTAACCAACAGAGGGCAGTGGTGATGCACAGTAGTGAAGATCTAAGCAGGATTTCAGCAGAACAATGCTCATCTTTCACCCTGCTTTATCAGAACATACTTGCTTTGGTTACTATCACAGTTCCCAACTTCAAAGTACGAGTTAATATTGAACCAACCGGTCCTTAAAAGGTTAGTTCAGCACTAAATAAAAATTATGTCAACATTTACTCACCCACATGATAACTGAAACATAAATAAAGACTATTTTAATCAAATCTGGGAGATTTGTACGTCTATTAAACGTCTAGGCACCAAAACCCTTAATAGTTGTGATCAAAAACTATTCAATTCCACGAATCCATTTAATCAAAGTCATCCGAGGAGACATAATCTCTTTATATCAAATTTAATTTAAGCCTTTTAATAAAGGCTGCCAATTAATAAAATTTTACCTAATCATGCTGATGAAGATCAAACATGCCATGTGACACACAAGAATGAACCTGATTGGATGTCACACATCAAGCAAGCATCAGCCTCTCTGACCTGATTTAAATGCATTTAAATTTTGTTTTGCTTCTTCTGTTTTTAAATCATTCGGTTTTTGGATTTGTTTTAGGTTTAAGGGCAAAAAAACACATTTTATATATATATATATATATATATATATATATATATATATATATATATGTATATAAATTCTAATTTAACTAACAAATTACAAATGAAGTTGGAACTAATAAACTTTTAAATGTAGGATGAATTAACCTTTTAAATGAAACCGTTGTGCAATGTAATGAAGGCAAATCCATCCATATAAAATAAAAACATGCACGCACACACACGTACTCTTAAACAATCTCAAACTGTTGGCAGCATTAAGACTTGAGGTGGCTGAATCTCTATGTATGAAATGGACAATGACTCACGACTTATGTACCATTAAGCAAAGCACGTCCGTCCACCATGAATTCAATACAGTGCTTTGAATCAGAGTAAAAAAAAGGAGAAAATACAATTTCTCTGAACATGTGCGCTGTGCTTCAATCATTTCCCACTGCAAAAATAAATAATACAAGTTTTGGGAAACAAATTAAAAACTCAACCTGACGAGATCCAGCTATCATATCTTCTTATATACTGACTAATTCACAGGTCGCTCATCCCAAACTCACTTTGAGTCAAAAGAACTCATTCCACGGTGCCGTTAAAAGCAGGAAGAGCTTTAAAACTGCCGACCAGCTGAAAACGCACAGCCAGGCTAAAAAAAACAAAAAATTGGCCCTACATCCATACTCTTATCCAGCATAGTTTCGTTATTGAACTGCTCTGCGCAAAAGGCACGAGTCTGAAGGCTTGGAGGTGAAGGTCACATTAAATATATATATTTTTTGTGAAGCACATGTGGTTCTAGGTCTCTTCCTCCCATAGGCACAGCTGTTTGTGTGGCACATAGTACGTAAACTGGTAGCCTTTGCTGCAGCTCTTGATGCCACATTTGTATGGGCTGCCCCTGCCGGAGACATCCCGGTTGCGACAGTATTTTAGCAAGCATGGGTACCACTCCAGTCTGAGGTTGTAGCTGCAGGAGCAGGGCTGCCACAGGTCCTTCACCGTCCCGCAGCTCTGCAGGCCAGTCATCTCCACTGCCTGAGGCTCGAACATAGAGCTCTCCATGCCTGAAGAATAAAAAAAAAAAACACATTAATTACAGCTTGACTGTATGTGACCAATGCAAATGCGCTCTAATGGGCTATATGCACAGCTAGTGTTTTCAGCCAATGATGAACTTCCGGTAAGAGCTTTATGCGACTATTTTCAGCTTCATAAGGATTTTTACAGCACTAATGTTGTAATGCAATTAAAATATAATCAGTTAACTAGACTTAAGCATCCATTTTGGTTGTTAAAGCATAACAATTAAAGACGGAAACGCCATCATTAGCAGCATGCCAGCGCAGAAATTCTAAGAAAAGTATTGGGGTAAAACTAATTTCCATATTTTAAAGACAAGGCACAGAAAAATATCATTTAATGTAGTGTTTCTTGTTTGGTCCGATACCCATTTTATAAGGTATCTCAGCCAGGCAGTGAAGATCGCTGTTTTTTAAAGAAATCAGATCTTAAACGTGGCGATTTTGTATAGGATGGCAATTAACTGGAAGCCCAGGGGCTGGCTGACTGAAATTAAAAGTTTGTGTGCATATACCCTATATTATAACTGTAATGAGTCTTTACTGGTCATTTAAAATGATTTGCTATGGATACTTTTCCAAAATTTAGATTGTATGCTGTTTTATTGGAACTTTCATGCAGTTTATTGTTAATGTATTCTGTAATGTCAGATGATTATTTAGATTAAGAGTTTGTACTAAATCCAATGGAAAAAAATCAATTAATGAAATAAATCTAATGTAAATAATTTCCTTAAAATGTATATAGAAAGAGTTTGATTGCACAACATAAAAGCATGACATGAAAATGACTAAAAATGTAGTTATTTGTTAAATAAAAAACAAGTATAAAACAAATAACTACAGTTTTAGTCATTTTTATGGAACAAAATCAATGCCTAAAGTCTTGAATTAAAAAGCTTGTTGAATATCACAAACTGAAAAAAATAATCCACCGTATTAACAAGTTCTTGCATTTTAATGACTTGAATTCCAGGGTTTGTATTTTTAGGTCCTGAAATTTAACATATCTGTATATTTAAGCTGTGAATATTTCAACGAAAAATATTTCAAACACGTTTTCATACTTAAAAATTCAATAATTCATATTCAATTTTCAGATTTCACTTACAAAATATTCAATACCCTTTAAAAATACGATGTATAATATTCAAAAGGTAATTTTCAGTTCATTTTATTTCAGTTCAAATATTCGCTTCCATAAATTCAGTGGATCAAATTCGACTGTTAAAATTTAACATTGCATCCGGGAACTGCAGGAAAAGCAATAGATTGCAGATTGAAGATCGCCAGCTGCTCTAGCTTTCACCAGCAGGTGGAGATGGAATGTAAGATTTTTAACCCCGTAAACAGGCGAGAAAAAGGCTATTAAAGGCACAAAAGTAGCATTTAATATTAATATCAATGTTTTGGACATTAGTCATCTATATTTGCCCTTATGTAACGTAAGCCAGCTGGTGATCGCGTAAATCTCAGTTCTCGGATCCAGTGACAGACGTAGTTCTGCAATCATTTCATTCATTCATCAATTCATTCATTTTCCTTCTGCTTCGTCTCTATTTTAGTGGAAAAGCAATATTCTGGACAAACTAAAGACATTTTGCAAACGTAACCGTGGCAGAACCACAAAAAATAGAAAAAAAGAAGAGAAAGACGATAGCAAAGTGATAGCTACAAATAGAAATTTTAATTTAGAATCACGGATGATTTAAGCGCAATAGCCCAAATACATGTCATAAAATATTAATATTAACAATCATAATTTAAATAATGAAATTATATAACCTATCCCAATCCTGACATAGTTGCGTTTAAATAATAACTGAAGACGCTGCTTTAATGCATTCGCACGTTATGTTAAATTATTTTAAATTAGACGCCCCATCCATAACCAACCTTAAATCATACCTGAACACTGTTTAACAGTTCCAAGTAAACTGTTTTGTGTGACATTCTCATAAAATCTCTCTGCTTTTGAATATCTTTGTTCGTAATTGTTCTTAGCCCTGTCAATGTTTATCTATTTTGTATTATTATAATATTTCCTTTCCTGTTTCTCTTACGTTTATATTCTTTAGCTGTCAATATAATACTTCGCGTCTATGGAAGAAAGAGTCAATAAAGATAGACAATGTGTAACATCATATTCATCAAAAGACGGTTTATGTGCAAGTAACTGCACCGGTCCGAGCAGGGAGCGAGCCGGCATGGGAGACAAGCTCCGATAAGATTGCAGAACTACGTCTGTCACTGGATCCGAGAACTGAGATTTACGCGATCACCAGCTGGCTTCCGTTACATAAGGGCAAATATAGATGACTAAAACCTCATTTACTCATTTTACTCATACTTTTTATCATTTATAATGTCCAAAACATTGATATTAATATTAAATGCTACTTTTGTGCCTTTAATAGCCTTTTTCTCGCCTGTTTACTGGGTTAAAAATCTTACATTCCATCTCCACCTGCTGGTGAAAGCTAGAGCAGCTGGCGATCTTCAATCTGCAATCTATTGCTTTTCCTGCAGTTCCCGGATGCAATGTTAAATTTTAACAGTCGAATTTGATCCACTGAATTTATGGAAGCGAATATTTGAACTGAAATAAAATGAACTGAAAATTACCTTTTGAATATTATACATCGTATTTTTAAAGGGTATTGAATATTTTGTAAGTGAAATCTGAAAATTGAATATGAATTATTGAATTTTTAAGTATGAAAACGTGTTTGAAATATTTTTCGTTGAAATATTCACAGCTTAAATATACAGATATGTTAAATTTCAGGACCTAAAAATACAAACCCTGGAATTCAAGTCATTAAAATGCAAGAACTTGTTAATACGGTGGATTATTTTTTTCAGTTTGTGATATTCAACAAGCTTTTTAATTCAAGACTTTAGGCATTGATTTTGTTCCATACATTTTCATGTCATGCTTTTATGTTGTGCGTTGAAGAGCACATATGCAAAAAAACATGATTTATGAAAATGACTAAAACTGCTTTATAGTAGTCTTCATAAATCGAGTATTGAAGTGTTCAATTGCATTAAATAGAGTAAAATGTTGAAATAAGTTTGTCTGAAATACTCTTCAAAAACACAAATTAGTATATTGTCATTTAGTGCATTAGTGCAGAAGATGCCAACCACCAAGCATTTCCAGGACAACACATACACTTAATACACATATACACTTTATTAAACATGTACACAGACATCACCTATATGCAATAAAATTGCAGGTTAACTATGTCTGTATATAATAACTTCTATTCAGTGATGTAATGTAACAAACTACAAATACTCAAATTACTGTAATTGGAAATTTAATACCTGAGAAAAACTACTCAAAGTAGTTTTAAAAGTAAAGTTTTACTTTCACTTGAGTACATTTTTAGTGCACTATTTTCCTTCAACCTGCAGTCACTACTTTATTTATTTTAGTCTATGGGGATTGGCTAAAGCAGAAAAAAAACAGTCCTGTGATTCCAGTCTAATTAAATAATAATATTTTTGCATCATAATGAACAATTTGAAGACCTGTTTGGAAAGTGTCCAAGCAGATGTCCAAAATCTTCACATGCAATCACCCTGAGATGGTTTAGATGGCATGTCACTGATGAGAAGATGATGGAAAATGTCAAATGGCCTAAAACAGTGCACTACAGAATGTTACGTTTTCACACACATGCACAAACTGCATGTAAACGCATCAACCTTTCACGGAGTAATACTCACTACTCTTGAGTACTTTTAAAAGGGCTATTTATTACTCATGCACAGAGTAATTTTTACAGCAGATACTTTTACTCTACTTGCACAACATTTTTTTGTGCAAGTAATGGTACTTTTACTGCAGTATGATTTTTCAGTACTCTTTCCACCACTGCTTATATTTGATTGTAACTTTAACTTAATTTAATTGTAATGCAATAACATTACAATTGCACCTTTTGTAAAGCTGATTTGAAACAGTAATTATTGTGAAAAGCACTATACAAATAAACTTAAATTGAACTGAATTTTTCATTTTATTCACTTCAGAATAAAACTTTGTCCTTTATTGTGATTGAAAATCAGGGTTAAAGATTAAACATTGATTTTGAATTCTAAAAATTATTAACAACATGTTATCATTTGTTTCAATATTATTTATCATTTATTTTCTATTTTTTACATTTAAAAGAAATGTAATCAGTAGTTTACAGAATAACTTTTTTTATACTTAATTTTACTTAACTACCTCAATTGCAAATCCCAGAGATTAAGAAACTAAGAAATTCCAAGTGGTCTTGTTAAACTTACAGAAAGCTTGACAGATTTTTAAAAAGACAGAAAAATCATGCAAAAATTGTTAGAATATTAAAATATTAAATATTATACTGTAAATATATTAGCCATGGTAATGTCCATAGCTAAGCACTAAGTTAAGACAGCTTTAAAAGTGATTCCCTTAATATTCAGATATTTAAATACCTGCATCTCTACTAAATACAGTCTTATTATAAAGTATACATTAATAAGAAGCTTATTTTTTCAGCTTTCAGTTGATGTATAAATCTTAATTAAAAGAAGAAACTTGTGACTGGTTTTGTGGTCACAAATGCACTTTTAGAGGAACAAAAACATTACTACTGTTAGCTACGTCAGTCATAATAGGGTTAAAATCTGAAGAGAGCAATATGTCAATCAGAGTTCTATTTAAGCATGCTGGGTTTGGTAGGCTGTAATTAAGGGTCACAGTAAGCACGCTTGCCTCGGTCCAGCCAGTGTCTGACATCAGCCTCGCGCGTGTACACGGCCTCATGGGCCACGCTGCACATGTTGTGGATGTGGGCACTCAGCTGCCAGGTCCGTGTCAAATTGACCGCTACGTTCATGCTCAGCATCTCAGTGCCTCTCTTCTCCTCTGCTGTGCGGATGGCCTGGGGATTTTTCTGCAAAAATAATAAAACGGAAAGATTTTAGCATTAGCACTGTAGTTCTAGAAATGTTTCCAGTCTTTCATCACACCTTTTATTCATTTTCACACCTTTAAGGCCTTGGCTGCCCTCCTAGGAAATACTCAAAGACCTTTACAGCCTTGCTTCCTCTGAGATCTTCCATTTAAAACATCACACTCCCATGCAACACATTAACACATGAACCAACACCCCGATCGTGACACAATTTTATTTTACAAAGCAAATTGAGGGAGTCCAACACAGATTTATTAAATTTAAATTAGAATGTATTATTTAAAAAATAAACACAGTAAAACAATGATATGACATTAGCTTTGTGAAATTTAGCTTTAAAAAAAACAGAAAGATTAAAAGCTGAATTAAATGCAAATGGAAACTCTTCCTTTAGGTGGTGCTAAAAGAACAGCAGGAATAACAGTTTTCTGTCATTTCAGTAGTGCTGTAATCAAACGAGTAGCGCTGGTATGGAAATCATCTACCAAAATAACATCTAAATGTTTCCGAGGACAGGAGTTCCTCTTATAGTTGCTTAAGAGAGAGAAAAAATGTAGATTTTATTACCATTTCAGCTTCTATGGCTATGTCATGGCTCAAAACTGATCCAAGTTTACCAAATTTTATAAATACCACTTTTCTAGACTTATAAAAATATTCTAACAATTAAAAGTCATCAACAGCAATATATAATACACAAGATAAAATACATAATTAATAATAATAATTATATATGATGAGATAAAAATCTAAAACATTTTACGGTTTACTTTTTATAAAAATTGTACAATTTTAGGAGGATTCACATTTAAAAATATTTAATTTAAAGTCTCTCCAGATTAAAATTGCTGTCTGACCACATTAATAATAGGGCATTCTACAATTATACATTTTTGGTTTCTACTGCAATATTGGCATTTTGGGGGTGGTTCTTCTTTGAGTAAATGTTAATGTGTCTCGTGTGTCCAGTCTTCTGTAAACAATCTCATCAAGTCTTAAGTTTTTTTCCTATTTTGAATTAATTTCAAAAAGTTTCTTTTCAGAGCACTGATACTATTCTGTCTGCCATTTGTTTAGAATAAAGCCTTTTATTAGAGGCCCTAAATCTGAAGGTGGGATTCCATTAGCTTTCCGGCAAGGGCTGTTTTGGCGGCTTGTTCATTTTCAAATAGTCCAGCATGTCCTAAGATTCAGCAGAAAACAATACTATCAAACTTCCTCTGTAGTTCGTTTACTTTGATAAAAATGTCAATAATAATGGGATCTTATAGATGCTTAAAAAATCCCCCACAAACAATTCAGTATTTTGCATTTTCTTTAGTTTTTTCAAAAACATCCACACATCCACACATAATATAAAATTAATAGACATAAAAGTACATTGAAATATTCAATGCAAAGCATACATCATGTATAGATGTTTTCAACCTTTATTTTTTGTGAGATTAAATTAATATTCATCTTACAAAGCTTTCAGAATAATTGAAACATAATAATACAAGCAATCACTTGAGATTTGAGCTGTAACTAAAGCAGGCTAAGCTCAAAAGTCTTGACGTTAAAGTGTTTTTTATAACTCCCACTAAAGTGTTTTCATTTCATGTATAAACAGGGCTCGAAATTAACTTTTTTACTTGGTAGCACCGGTGCTCCCAACTTATAAAAAAAATTTAGGAGCATCAGAAAAAATTTAGGAGCACCCACCAAAAATGATTAAGCACCACTGCAAATTGTATTTTAAGGGATTTATTGTATTTTAAAACAACATCAATTAGGACTAACAAAAACCAGAAACAACTATCTAACTAATGCTGAGATGACATTGATATTTGTGTGCAATAATTCCAAAATGAATGTCAAATAAATATAAAATATTAATGATGATGAAAATGACAATAACAGTAACAATGAATTACATTTGTCATCATCATGCTGCCTTGAATGTGCTTGAATGCAAGTTTTCTGCTATAAAAAGTCTGTTATTTATGAAAAATAAATGTATAGTTTGCATCAAACAAAAATGAAGCGCTGCAGTAAGAAATATTTATTTTGTACTGCTGTTTATATATGCATGTCAGTTTAATAAATAATATTTCTGCTACAAAACAAACAAAAGATTATAATAAATAATTAAATTCAAGGCTGAAAGCTACAAAGCAGTCATCAGTAACTAAATAAAACAATTTTGCCTATATATACACCTCAAGAAAGAATAGACAAAAGAAAGTAAGTAAAGTCTCACTTCTATCACTCTTTAAAAGTTTTGGTTTCAGTTTGTGTCAATTAAAATGTTCAGTCTGAGATGATTTTCATTTTTCTGTGTTAGTTGAAAAGCTGGCGAGTCAGCCGACCCAATTTATGAGCAGATTAAGCAGGATTCTTGCGGTGACCACCGGCGCAATACCGCTGTTTGTTATGAGCCGCAGTTTCAGTGTAAACTTAGTTAAGGCGAGCTTCTTTGGTGATGATATGTACAGTATTAGATTTGACTTTTAGCGGACATTTGCGCTGAACACGCAGTGAACGCAACGCATCGAGATTCGAGCACCTTCTCCGAAAAGCAGGTACTCGATTGATCTCAGCTGGCGGATCAATATATATTAGGTGGGGTTTGCAAACCTGTGTGCTTTAAGTTTTCACTCTTCAGCCGTTTGCATTTCCCGTGGTCATAAAAGCTCCTTCCTTGTCATCTGACAGCGGAATACCTTGCGTGATTGACGGCTTATATAAACCAATATAGCGGCAGGGAAGAGCGATTCAGCACATTTTTACAAAAAATCAAAACAGGTCGCACTGCAACCATTATCTGCAGTCGCACTAATGCTCCCATATATATTATGAGGTCGCATAGATTAATTTTCGGGCGCATATGCAACCAAAATGGTCGCAATTTCGAGCCCTGATAAATATGCAAACCCTAATAAAAGTACAAACTTGAAATTGGAGTAAGCCAAAGGAAAACTGTATAACTCTTTTTTTTTTTTTTTTTTACGTGTTCTGATATACACTTTCTCTGATCATCTTCTATTTTGCACCCAGTAGACACTGAAGTCCCGCTAGACGCAGGGTTGTCCAAACTTGGTACTGGAGGGCCAATGTCCTGCATATTTTAGTTCCAACCCCGATTCAACTCACCCGAACCAGCTAATCAAGCTCTGTCAAAGTATACTAGAAACTTCCAGCGGGGTGTGTTGAGGGAAGTTAGAGCTAAACTATGCAGGACACCGGCCCTCCAGGACCGCGTTTGGACACCCCTGCGCTAGAGATTCCCTTACCGTAAAACACCTAAAACACAGATTGCAGTAAAAACTTGTCAACTGCAGGGGAAGTGTTGTCTCTTAATTGATGAGGTATCTGATCGATAAATCATCACATCATGGAAGTATGAAATAAACATTTATTATATGTTACTTTAACAAATGTAACAAATACAGAATGTTTATTTTATACTTGCACAATGTGAAATTTGGACACTAACTTTTTGTCTGCCTCAGATAAGATATCCATTGTCTAGTAAATGCAGAACATCTTGTGTTTTTCTGTGGGTGTTCGACTATTGACTGCACTGCAATATGCAAATTAGATCTGTTTAGACAAGTTGTACTATAAAGTCATGGCAGAATGTTGTACTATAAAGCCATTGCAGAATAATTGTGGAACAAACATCACTACTTGCCATACACTTTTATACACACATACACTTATTTAACAACACACTTTACATGCCAATTTGCACATAACAGCTGCACATATAACATTGTATATAGTAATATAGCTCTACACACACTTGTCTATTTGTATATTTTGCATTCACTTCTTACTGCTTTTTTATATATTTATTATCTGTTTATTGTCCTGTCTCTGTAATTCTGTTGCACTGTAGAAGCTCTGTCACAAAAACAAATTCCTCGTATGTGCAAACATACCTGGCATTAAAGCTCTTTCTGATTCTGATTCTGAAATCAGTCAAATAAAATAAAAACAGCCAGTTGCACTTTTGGAGCACAGAATATATAAGATTTCTGGCCTGTCGACTAGCGCATCTATAATTTGCTCCCTCAAACCCAAGCCTTTCCACCCAATGACTTCCTCCTGCCCCGTCATCAGACTTTGGTGGACTGACCTGTCTCAGTCTGGCCATGGATTCACTGGGGATGATCTCATTGTGGTTGAGCCGTGTGATGAAGCAGAGCGCTTGGTACTGGCTCTGCCCTCTCTCCAATTCTCCCAGAATCAGCGCTCGGAAAATCTTCACATCCTGAGGGCAAAAAAACATGCAGTCAGCATTCTGTTGTGCTACTTCTTAGGGAATATAATACATAAGCCTTGACCACAAAACCAGTCTAATGTTGCACGGGTATATTTTCGGCAACAGTCAAAAATACATTATGTTATGGCATAAATCTTTCAAATATTATGTAAAGATCGTATTTCATAAAAATATTCTGTAGATGTCTGTGCCACAAATATAAATAACAAACTTAATCTCTGATAAGTTGCATTGCTAAAAACTTAATTTGATCAACTTTAAAGGTTTCAGAACAGAAATATAATTCATTATAAACACCATTTATGATGAAAGACTGAGCTTAAATTGACTGAACTGTGGTGTTTGGGAAACTCGTATATCCTTTCCAAATGTGTGTGCGCTTTGCACATAGTTTGCATGCTTGACATTAATTTCTCGTTCCAGAAAATTAAACAAAATATTTATATTCTGGAAAATACAGCAATTATAATTTCATTTCAATTTCTGCCCTTGATTTATTAAAGGCATGTTCACTCTAAGAATAATAACATAATGGCACCTATAATGTTTTAATTACATTCTAATTATATGAGAATAGGGAATTCCACACCACAATTACAGCACACACTTCCATCCACACCACAACTAACAACATGAAGGGAAAAATAATGCTGGAATCAGAATCAAAATGTTGTTGTTTTTTTACCCGATAAATAATAAATAATTGGCAGCCAGTCAGAATACATCCTGATTTATAAGCTTCAGCATTAAAGTGGCAGACAAAAGCTGTAGTGTGCTTATAATAACTCAAACGCGAGTCCTGATTATATTGTTTCTAACTAATGTTGCTGAATAAATGCAACCTTTGTGCTACAACAGTCTTTTTTTTATTGTTTTAATATCAACTTGAATATGATTGTTTCAATATAAACATGATATGGAATTACAGTAGTTAATATGAATTTGCTTTTTAGAAAAGCTTTGGGTTTTATGCTCAAGGTGGAACACACAAAGCTGACAGTTGGCCAGTGGGCAGTATCAGGCCACTGATGAGTGCTTGTTAGGCATGTTCCACATGTTGCCTCTCGTTGGGCTCACAATGGTGGGAGTTTGCCCAATAGGGTATATGCAGAAGTATGCAGAGAGACTTTTAATTTTTAAGTAGCCTTGGTCAAACGCTTACGGTGAACTGTATGTAGTTACAAAATGACAGCGTTTAAGGTCTGTTTTCTTTAAAAATCTCCACTGCCTGAATGATATATGATATACCATGGATCTCAGAATGTGCAAGAAGCACTGCATCAAATTCCATTCTCCCCCACCATGTCTTTCAAATATGAACACAGTGTTTCCTCTAGGTTTTTCTCCAGCTGTGGCAGCAGGCCTTTTTTACACAGATCTACCAACTACCAATGGCGTTATTTCAATGACAAATGTCGTGAGTGCAGTATTACAAGTCGAGATCGCATTCATGTAATACGAGCATGCGAATCTCTTTGCCTGTGCGCCGATTTTCTCTGTTCGCGCACAACGCTTCTTGCACGTCCTCAAATATACGCTGCTCAGAGCATTTTCTTGTGTGCTCTCAAATAAACATTGCTGATTTTGCTAAGAATATTTATGAATCCAACAGACCTACAGAGCGGCTATAACCTCCTGCAAGATAAAGTCATTGTATGCAGACCTTTAGACCTGTTCTATGAAGTATAATTATGGAAACTGCTCATCTTAACTCAAAGCTACGTTGTGTTTGCTGGCCTCACATATCACGCACCTGTCAGTCTGTCAGTCAGCATGTCACCTTAAGGGTTAAACAAATAACTCACAGCACTACTACAATTACAGAAAAGTTTGCACTGTTAAAATTCACTTACTTTTTAATACATTTTGGTGCGATTATAACCCACTATTTAAAAAAAACAACAACGACTGAATGTTTTGAATGTAATGCTATAATGTAGCCGTGGCGGGATGATTTTTGGTGCGATGCCCCACCATGGAAGAATAAAATGTAACGGACACCATGTGAACATTTATTTTACCCCAGTATTTTTGATCGAATTTCTGCACTCGGCTGCTGATCATGACAGCGCTAGCGCTTACACAGTCTTTTATCTCGTTTTACACTTGAACAACTAAATGAACGCTTAAGTCTATTTAACTGACTGTATTTTAATTACATTTTAACATCGATGCTGTAAAACGAACCTAATAACTTGAAAAAGTCACATCAACTGTTCACCAGTATGGGAAGAAACACTAGCTGTGCATATACCCATATTCATCATGTAGAATTAGTGTCAGCTGATGGTGAAAGAGAGAGCACTGACTGGTTGTTCAGGTACGATTCAGAACAAAAACTAAAGTGACAATTCTTAAATTTTTGTAAATGATATGGATTATCAGATATCAATTATAAATCTGCATAAGAGCACCCTCTGGCTTTTAGAGGAGACTTACTGAACACAGAGCCGTGTTTCCCTGACAAGATGTGCGTGAGAATCGCAGATCATATTTTTTGATGAATCACTCAGGCCTAAAATATTCCAAAAGATAAATTTGTTTTTAAAATTATTAATAAAATTATTTTAAGATTACAATTACTTAACAAATCAATCAAAATCCTCCATTATCATGCTGCCCTATCAAGCGCCCACTAGTTTTATTGGCTTTGGCTCCAAAATTCTTGCAATTTAGCCTTTAAAAGTCAGCAGTCGACCTTCAAGCCTACAGTAAGATCTTCATTAGAAGATTTTACAGCACCCTGGCCCAGATCAACACATACACAGAGACAGACACTGTATATTTCAGCACATCATTGAGTTGCTGTTAGCAACCAGACCAAATCTCTGGCAGCGCCTCCATGCCTATAAAGACTTCCATGTAAAGGCATTATGGGAAAGCCCAGAGAGGAGTGCAAGGCCGCAGACCTGTCTACCCATTCATCAGTTTCTCGTTGCTCTGCCAGCAGAAGACACACATACTCCTCTTGTTTTTTCACAAAAAGGTCTCGAGTCCTGAGCCGACAGAAGGGAGCAAGCTTTCAGGATTTCACTCAGAAAGTAGGAGGTTTTCTCAGACAATCAAAATAAACAAGCCCAAGCTGTCTTTGTTTGCTCTGGAGCGTTTACCTTATTCCCTTTCTAGAAACTTCCATCTGGTTTCCAGAGTTGGTCGACCCCCAAACTCATGGAGCTGCCGTTTCACTGAGCCCCGTGGCAGAAACTCAGCCAAGAAACACTCACCTCCTCTAATATTCTGTCTGAATGACAGCGCTCATACGGGTCTCCCTGAGGACATGCATTCAGTTCAGCAGAACAACTCTGTGATGGCTACCAAACTGAAACCAAGTATGTCTGTTCTTATTCCACAAACGTAGTGAGAATGAACAAAATTAGCACTTAAAAAAAGACTAGAAGAATCAACTTAAATGCAGAAATCAGTTGTAAATACATGTATTAGTACAAAAAAAAAAGTTAACACCACAATACGTTAAAAGGGATAGTTCACACAAATATGAAAATTTCTCACTAATTACTCTTACACAAGTTGTTTCATTCTTCTGTAGAACACAAAAGAACATGTCTTGAAGAATGCTGAAAAACGGTATCCATTGACCTCCATAGGAAAAACAGATACTATGAATGTCAACGATTACAGGTTTTCAGCATTCTTCAAAATATCTACTTTTGTGCTTAACACAAAAAGGGTGAGAAAATGGGTAAGGGGAGAGAAAATGGAGCCAAAAATTTCATTTTTGAATGAATTCATTTTGAATATTTTTAAGTAATGTAGTTAAAGGGATAGTACATGTACTATCCCTTTAACTACATTACTTAAAAATAGTTGACGCAAAAATAAAAACATACTCTCACTAATTACTCTCCCTCAAGTTGTTCTAAACTCTAAAAAGCTTAGAACCACTTGAGGGAGAGTAAATAGTGAGTACATTTTTATTCTTTTGTGTTTAGTAAAATGAAAAAACTCAAAGGTTTGAAAGGTAAAGGATGGCAGAATTTTCATTTTTGAAAACTGTCCCTATTTCATTATGATTTAATTTAAAAGCAAATGTCTGTTATCATTAAGGTACGTGAGCTAACAAACTAACAAAGCTATTTTATTTAGCAAACAAACAGTGCAAATGGTGTTCAAATATGTAACAAATTAAAACCTCTAAACCTTTAAATGCTCTATTTTTTTGTCAGTAGAGTTTACATGACTTTGCAAAATCATAAAACATTTAGTTGCATTGAGATATTATATATTCTGAATTAACATTTAAACGTATGTTTACAAATAAACAGTAAAAACCTAAAACCAAAGTATATTTCAAATTAAACTTTATATTAAAAAAAAACATTTATTTACCACTTAAAAAAAAGATAGTGTAAAACTGAAAGCTGGAGTAATGCTGAAAATGTTGTCATCAGAGAATTAACACTTACTTTAAATAGTAATCAGGGTTTCTGCAGGTTTATGTCAAATTGAAGACTTTTTAAGACCATTTTAAGATCATTATGAATGAAATTTTACTCTTACACAGGGCTAAACACTAAGGATTTTTCTAATGGCCCAGTTACTCCAGTAAATAGTTTTTGTTTTAATGGAAGATCATGTAAAGGGATGTGTTGTTTTAGTTTTCTTTCCCTGCTTAGGGAATTTAATAAAGACAATTTGATGTAAACATATCTAACAGCCGTTGTGATTTGTTTCTCTTTCCAATAAAAACAAATATTTTAGTTATGAGATGGAATATTGGTGATTGATTAGCTTTACTTTGACAGGAAAATTGAGACATGATTTAAGACCTACAACAAAATATTTAAGTAAAGTTAAGACATTAAATTTATTTTTTTTATTGTTTTCAAATTGAAAGTTATTTAAGACTTTAAGACCTTGCAGACATCCCGGTAATGTTGTACTATTTAGATAAGTTAAATAATATTAATATAATGAATATTTTATTTTATTCAAATAAATGCAGCCTTATAAAGAGCTGAAGTGACTCA